CTTAAGCTCATCCAGAGTGTTGGGTCTTGTGTCTTAAGCTCATCCAGAGTGTTGGGTCTTGTGTCTCTCAACTTTCTCTTCACAATATCCCACCGATTCTCTCTGGGGTTCAGGTCAGGAGAGTTGGCAGGCCAGTTGAGCCCAGTAATACCATGGTCAGTAAACCATTTACCAGTGGTTTTGGCACTGTGAGCAGGTGCCAGGTGGTGCTGAAAAATGAAATCTTCATCTCCATAAAGATTTTCAGCAGATGGAAGCATGAAGTGCCTGATAGCTAGCTGCATCGAACCTGCCCTTGACAAAACACAGTGGACCAACACCAACAGCTGACATGGCACCCCAGACCATCACTGACTGGCAACTCTTCATGTTGTGCAGCGTTTTCTGCCATTTTTCTTCCCACTGTGCTGTATCAAGGCACCTCAGTGGGAAGTCTGCAACTGTAATCTGTATTTATTAAAGAGGACATATGTAGTTTTAAAATAAGGTCACATGCGTGGGAGTGTGACCTTACTAAGTTTCTTTTTCCTGCCTTTCCTGCCAAATTTTGAAGCTTAATTTATCACTCTACTTGAATTCAGTCACAACAACTGTAATTTTTCCAGCTGCAAAACATAAATTTTCTGTTCTCCTGCAGGGCCTGCATGTGCTTTTGACCATTCTGAAAAGCCTGAGAGATTTTTCTCCTCATGGTAACCTCTTCTCTTTAGAGTTGAAGGATTTTTTTATACTCATAACCCCACTATCAACTCTAGAATGCCCAGCATCCTGCAGGAACTAGAACGATAACTGATAACTACTATAATTATACTTAGGTTTCCAGAATTATTCTTCATTTCTGCTGCTATAGACTTAGACTGCTGGAGCACAAACTGAACACATTTCCTCACTCTGCTGTTGTCTTTAGTCTGTCTTCTCTACATGTTTATTGTAATTATTTCTATCAATAACATGTTTTTTTCTTTTATCTCTTTTCCAGAAGTAGGTGCACCTGGACCAGTTCTTCTGCGTTTACCTCTGTCTCTTTCCTGTCCTCCAA